GTTACTTTCGACCAAATGACTCTGGTCTCCCAGCACCCAGCGTCGCTCGTGGTGATGCGGGCGGAGGCGCGAGGGAGGGAGGGAGGGAGGTGTCTGGAGAGTGAATCCAAGATGGCCGCCTTCATCAGCCGTGGCCTGTTTCGTTTGGAGCACCTCACTCCGGCTAACGAGAGCAAGCATTGACACCGTTACTTCTGCTATGAGCGTGTTGCTCCGCCAAATGCTCGGTTATCAAAGGAGCGAGGTCCCGGATCCTCCGAACTAGAGGCACTAGAAGAACTCGATAGCTGAGTGCGACTGGTAAGCTCTGCTACTAAAGTTGACTGGGCGGTTTGTTGCTTTGTTGGCTGGCGGTTTTGTTAATGACTGACTGCACGTCGGCAGCGGTAGACCGATACACAGCCATTAGGCTGAGGCCAGTTGCTGGAGGCTTCCAGCGTTATGCGCGACGACAGCAAAAAGAGAAACTGTCCTTTGCGCAACGCTATTTTAAGTAAAATACCCACTTGCTGCTATTTCTGCTGCACACGTATTATTGTGGATTAAGAGACGTGATTTCGACGACAGTATACAGTGCTGAAGCCGAACCACAATTTCTTGCGAGTGTCTCAGGTGTCGTTAACCCGGGATCAAACAGCAAAAGTTCCGTGCAATCGTTTACCGTCTAAAAGATACATAGAGACGAGTTCACACTAATCAAAGGGTGAGCGGCGACAACAAAAACAGTAGCAAAAGCACTAGGAACAACTGTTGAAACGCACATGGAATACGGAACAGGGTGAGAAAGAGCGCTCAGTAGCAACCTGTCGTAGTTTTGATCGGACTCATCGCTCGGATGACGATTCCCTGTATATCTATAAACAAACTGAATTCACTATCCGGAATCGTTGCGTCGCGCTGCTTGGACAGGTAGTCGTCACAACGTCAGATATGTCGTCCTGGATTTTTTCCTCGGCAGGGATAACAGTCGTTTGCGAGTCGTTGTTAGGTATTGTGGTGTCGTTTATCACAGATCGACATGATGACGGGTTCAATCTAGGCGCCAAGAAGCAAGGGATAGCCAAGACGTGCGGATCACCGACCGGTATGGCTCCGTGCGAGATGTAGACGAGTATGCGATATTCGTCGACGAGTTGCTGGTACGATTTTGGCTTAATATTACCACAGAAAGTGCATTTACAGCGTAGTTAGTGTAATTCACCCTGTGAATAGCTCTGCCCTAATTTGCCTTCCTGCGATGGGGGTGGGGGTGGGGCGCCTTTGGCGGATTCATTTGGACTTATCATGTCTGCAGTAGTGCCACCATTAGGCCAAGCCGATGCCAAAACGGGACTACACCGTTAATTAAAGTTCTTGTTTTCCCGCTGAAAGTATTCTCTAACTAAATGGTCGAGCGATACAGGGATTTCATGCACAAGCTCTGCTAAGCAAGTCAACTGCTCTAGAGACTGCAACCTCCCATGGCGTCAGCGACAGTAGCAATCGAGAACAGATAGATGGAGTTTGACGGCGTACGATGGAAACAAATGGTTCTGCCAAACAATTACGTCACTTGGTTATAACAGGTATGCATACACATACCTATGCAGGAGCGACTGCGCCTAACATTCCGTGCAGATAAAGAAACTTTCTCGAACGTCAAGTAACACATACAATCTCTAGAGCCTGTTTTGTCACTAGAATTTCGCGCACGAACGAACTACCGTAAGCATTATCCGCTCTTGCGTTCGCTGCACCCCCCAAAGCCCTTACGATCAACAGACGGACAGTTTCATCCTTGTAGCAATCGCTAGATTCGAAGTCCCGTTGCCCGCACCCAGCTTTGCCACTCGGAGTCAAGGGCTGAACTAAGCATTGTGGCTCCTTTACCATTGGCGACTTGTAGAACACGACGGGACGACATTCGGTTACCGGCGGAAAGTTTTAGACCGCGAACAGTAAACAAACAGGAGTTTTAACTTTTATGGTTGAGTTTCTATGAATGGGGCTAAGTTGCTTATTTGTCTCGACTTCGAAGGATCAACGCAGAATTAGCGGTAACTTGGCGACACGTAACGTTACAACGCATCAACCAGACTTGAGCTGTAGGGAATTTCCGGCAAATTATCTGCATAATTCGTCGCTGATGCAGGGGTCGAAAAACGGATATCTGGAGCTTATCGAGATAAGCTAAAGCACGACAATTGTCAAGATAAGCAAACAGAGGATATCAAGGAACATGTTCGGAAGGTGTGCGGTGGACCTACCTATCGAGCCGGCAACAGCCAACTCATGGCCGATGTCAGCTAAATTTGGTGACCTGTATTTGTCAGATACATAGTAAAGCTAAAATCTATTGAAACATAAACATCGAGTCGTCTAGATGTGACATGGGATATTTTCGAGGTCGTCGAGATCATCCCGAAGCAAAACAGCTTCTCACAGATTGTCCGTCGTACTCATTTTGTCATGAAGTATCTGTTCGACGCAAACATGAATCTGGCTGATTTCGGTAATAACTTTCATTGGCATTACAAGCTCAACTAGGACAATCCGAGATCATCACTTGCTACAATACGAGCCAATAAATGCTGGACATGTCAAGTAGTCGTTGACCCGTAGCGAAGCAGTAACGAACGAATTCAACGGGACTTCAAGCTAGCAACGCCGTTTAGAATTTCAACACCGACAAATCCAAGGATTTGAGGCGCCCACAAAGACGATACTAAAGTGACCGCAAGATCTACACACAGACATGCGCGCAGGAAACATAAACAAACAAAGCTGAGATATAATATCGACCGCAATAACCACAATAATAACAGCATCTAACAATATACAACAAGTGCCTCTAGTCAGACTTTGGGAAAAAGCATTAGCGAAAGTATATGTACATCCACGTTGATATGAGGTCATCATTCCCAAAATTGCCAATATTTGTACACGAAGAAAGAAGGAAGGATCAAAAGGATGCAGCGTCGAAACTGTGTGCCATATATATATATCGATCATTCTAATTGAAGGAGAGTAACAACCGAAACGGTTCGCGTACTTTCAGCGCACAGAAGATTCATCGACTGTGATCAATTAGGAGGACTTTTATAAGCATACGCGGTTCTTGCTTGCTAGCACAGAGCGTGGCAAAAGTACCATTTTTAAAGGCCGCTTTATTTGAATACAGGAGTAGATGTTTTCCACGGACTTTGATCGGTCGATAAAAGTGATGATTTTCGGAGTGAGTGCTTTTCCGCATATTTGTGGTTTTATCAAGTGAAGATTGCGTCAAAGGAATGGGTACACTGAATTGTTATACCGACCCAGCTAATCAAATGGATTGGTATCTTACGGATTCTAAAAGTCCGCTCAAATGAGATCAATTATCGGCGGGTTGAGAAGTGCTGGCATCCAGATGGACAGACGTGAACCGTGTGGTGCTTGTGACAAACGTCAGCATACATCCATGCTCTAGGATTGAAAGAATACGTTCTAAAGCATTCCTGTTGGTGACAGTCGCGGCCACAAGCCTTTTCGTTTATTGTTTTGGCAAAGTCCGGCTCTATCACTTGCTCTCGTAAATGACAAGAAGGTCAACGATATTGAAGACCTTACGTCATCAACAAACATGTGATAAAAGCATTACCGCAAAATTAATACATGATGCGCTGAAGCTGCGGACAAACCCTGTAGGAAGTCTGAGTCACAGGAAGGTGATTTAGTGCGTAATAGGGGAGCTGTAAGTACTTGTTGAGTGTTGTGGATCAGCTGTTCAAGTGGGCTCACGAGGATAAAAGACCGCCTTTTGTATCGGACTCCATCGGGACACACGCCTAAGATTCATATTAACCAAGGTTCGGTCGACGCAACTCAACGAGTTTTCTTTCTGCAGCAGTGATTCTCTTCCCCTAACTACGTTAGATATAGAAATGATCAGTAGCTGTGTTTACGGGAAATAAATGAAAAAAAGACAGTGACTCTACAGTGCATAAGATGACATTGGTCTCAGTCTTGTCTGTCGCTTGATCAGTCATCAGGTCGCTCAAGCTCAGCAAGTTGAAGCGGAACGATTCTGACAAATCGATTTTGAATATGTTCAATTTATGCTATCTAGAACGCTCAGACACTGTCGTAGAGGTATATCGTAGAGATACGTTTTTAGGAATTATGTTTGATTTTTCAAGGGCGCAGAGGAAGCTTTGTGCCAATGCAGGATATATCGTGTGTTCATTCACTGGATACTTTATTTGCCCCACCTGTAACATCTGCTGATTTACATCTGCACTTGTTTACGTATTGAACGCTAGCGGCTGTCTGGTTGAATGACGAGAGTCTCTTTATAGATTGATTCGAATGGATGTATGTACGAATGACACGTTTGAAGCGGCCTGGTCAGTACTACAGCTGCAAACGATAATCTCTTGTTTCCGATTTTCAACGGCGTATACGTTTATTTATGTACAGGGTAGGGCGAAAGTGGACTTTCAGTAAAAAGCCCATGCAATTAAGAAATAATTTGATCTGTAGCTGTGCAAAAAGCAAGCTGCCAATTGAAGCAGGACCAACTTGAGATTTCTCAGTTTTTTTCTAGTAAGAAATGCATTTCGTATTATTAGATTTACATTTTGCCCCGCTGCAAATCTACTTTTTTTTTCGTACGCTGAACATAATAAACCTGCTTCACTTATAGCACATAGGCAGAAAGTCAAGACAGGGATATGTTTGCAGCACATAAAAAGCTACAAAATTTCGTTGTTTTTTTTTAAGTTTTTTAGTAATTGCGATCTTCTGCTTGCCCTACTCATATCCATCTGTATATCGACAAGGTATCACTATTCTGATCCGTTTGGTGTTGGCCGAAAAACGATTTTTGCTCCATAGAAACGCGTGCAAATTTCATCGGACAGCATAGTATGATGGCATTGTATATCACTAATAATATATGGAAATGTAAAATTACTCTTACGTGTCTGCTGCTGATGATTATTGTTGGTATCATTGTTACTATTGGCTATCATTATTTTCAGAGTACAACAGATTTGAAGCGAAAATAAATGAACTCCGGGAGCAAATGCTGAACAATTCAGGCGGCTGCGTGTCAGGGAGCATCAGGACTTCCCAGAAGAGGTCGCTGTTCGTCAAAGCATTGTTCGATTACGAACCGCAGAGGGATAGCGGTCTACCCTCCAGGGGGCTACCCTTCAGGTGTGTATGTTTAGGTATTGAATAGGTCTGTCAGTATGATCTTAGTTAGTCTTACTGGGTTATTCTTAGCGTTCAATTTGTAAGTTGTATCATACTAAGCCCAAATTGAAGCCAAACTGTTTATGGCCAGCAAATAATTCTATCATAATCTTTTAACAAGCTTCAACGTTCTATGGACAGCGCGTCGCAAACTTGTTGGTATTTTTTGCTTTTGCCATCATCGCCTTTTGCCATATATATATTATGTGTACATTTATAGATTTGGCGACATTCTACACGTGACAAATGCGAGTGATGATGAGTGGTGGCAGGCGCGGAGAGTTCTCCCGCCGGGACACGAGGATTTTGTTGGGATCATCCCATCCAAGAGGCGGGTTGAACGACGAGAGCGGGCCAGACTGAAGACTGTCAAATTTCAGGTAAAAATTCAATATTAATGAAAACAATACATAAAATTTAATTTTAGGTTGAATGCATTATTAACTACAAGCATCATAGCTAAACTATTTACCTACCTACTAACACTGCCGTTCTGTACTGTTATCTTATTCTATCTATATATTATTTATTTTTTCCGGCATCATTATTATTATTGACTATATTTATAAAATATGCCACTATTTCGATACGCACTTATCTATTATTTGAGTCGGTTTTAATATTAAACCGAAAACGCTGCCCATATTTGATCCTTAACTTCATCGAAAACTATAAGGCTTGCTTTCCACCTCTTGTCAAGCCACGTGTTTTACTCAATGATAAAACACCAATTCGTAACTAACCTTTGAAAAAATCAATTTTATAAACGATCTCCTCCACTCATTTACGGTGCTGTATGTTTGTAATCGTGGTTTTTTTTTACTTACACTAATGTCAAATAATTTTCATGTACCAGAATTCACTTGTACAGATTAGTTTATTACCCCAGCCATCTCACCTCCACTTCCATCGTCAACGTTTTTCTATTCATCATGTTGTGCCAGGACATAGTATGCGCTATCCGTAGTCACATAATCAGCGGTTTTTCTTCGGCCTACTCCCATTGACCTTAACGTTCCTACGACCAGCCAATCGTTCTTGTTTCAAACTGTATTCTCATACCCTGTTCGGTCGACAGCGGACAGCTTCTAAGCGGCTGTTTCGTGTCGCTCAAAGAGCAGATCAAGATCAGTTAGGCCTGTTCGTTACCGGCTTGCTTTTGAATAGAAAACCATTGGTTTCTAGATTCTCCGTTTCGTTCTTCTTTTTCTGCTGACCTACAAATGTTCTCTGTTTGTGTAACAAGCATCAACTGCTTTCGCTCGTCTGGTACCTTTTTCATCGGCGTTCTTTCTGTCGGTGTTCATGAATGTAGTCAAGTAATTTTCGCACATATCATTTACCGATATGCCGCCGGTAGCCCGTCTAGCCTGCCTGTGAAAAACGGCCTCATGCGTACTCCTAGTTTTGTTCCTTCTCGTGGCCTGTTCGCATCCCGTAATGAGCTCGTGTGGCATTTGTTGTTCCTTATCCCTATCGTCTGCGTTCTGCCGTTTATTATTGGCTCCTGTATCGTCCTGCTCTTTCCCTGCCTTCCAGTGTCTCGGCCTGGGGCGGCCACCGGGACATTGCTCGCATCTGTTAGGAAAAACGTTACCGGCATAGCAATAGACGACGCTATAACCTGCGAGCCTTGTTATATGTGCTGTTGCTGCTGCCAGTGTCAACAACGGCAACGATGAGGACTATTACGATAGTAGCCGCCGCTGCTAATACTCCTCCTGACGCCGGCGCTGTGGGCATTACCCTTATTCCTGCTCTGGGTTGATGATGATCGTGTGCGTTCGTTAATTTTAGTCTTTCCGTATTGGCAGCAGCAGCTGCGCATTCCACTGCGCATCGGCGACCGAATAAAACAGCTCACAGCTGGTCGTTTGCCCCGGAAGCAATGCATAGTCAAGGAGAGCGCCTACCTATTTTTGGTTACTGCGTACCCCCTGCGTTAGGAATACTGCCATTACGTCTATAACTTGGTAGGCAGGCGCCTCAGGCCTTGTCCAATAATCAAGATAGAACCTGATAAGGTCTGGTCGGCCTACTTGCACCAGCTGCGTAGTGCCCGGGTAGCAGCAGCGTAATGCCGTTGCTTGCAGATCTCGAACTCAGTGGAAGAGCCAAACAGGAAGGGTCTCTCGAACATCCTATTATTACCAGCCAACTAGGGCGTTAACTCCAGATAGCCGCCCCACAAAGCACCAGTTAACTGTCCCGCATCGACGTTAGATGATCGAGGGTCAAATGCCAGTCGAAAGCTGTGTTGATAAGTGGTTGGTTAACTCTGTGAGAAAGACTGACTTTAGGCCTATTGTGGTCGAGCAGAGGTTTGTCCTGCATCAGAACCGTAGTTAACACCGTTTCAGCTCTTGAGCCCTCACAAAAAACGATAGCGAGCCCGTTACTACCTACTCCTTGACCCAATTGGCTTGCCGCTTGAACTAGATAGTTTTCCTTACGCTTGACTCTGACTAGTGAGCAAATAAACTCTGCCCTCTCCGGGTTCAACTAAATTTTTGATGGCATATACATACGTCTTTTACCTTCTTGACTTCTCCAACTTCCTTGAATTTATTCCTTCCGTCCACTCACTTTCCTGCGAAGAATTCTGTCTGTTATTGGAGACTGGGCCGAAAGGAGCTGTGACCCACCTCCGTAAGTCTGCCTCGATAGGCTTAAGGCAGCAATGTTTTATATTTACGCACATACGGACATATACATCTGACCTAGCCGGGCACATATACGCGAACGCGCCAGGAGCTTGCTAAAACTGGCTCGTTTGGCCTAATATGGTCTGGCTGGTGCTTCTAACCTGTACCCCGTAAATGAGTTGAGAAACCTAGGTGGAGCATTTACTGTTCTGTTACGACCCACAATACAACTGACTAGGATCGACTGTCTCATATTGCTACCCCTCGCACCAAGAGAATGGAGAAATTCATTGTAAATTAGTGTTCACCAATTGGCAGGGTGTATAGATAATGGCTAAATGACGTCAAGGTCGACATCAAGTGTCTTTAAATAGAACATCTAAGTAATTAATTTTATTAATGGCATGCACCACACATCTGTTAATATCGTTGTAATTTAACGTTAACTTCATACTATTTTTGTAGACATATAGCCCGGAAACCGAAAAATTATAGACCTTAGTTTGTTTCCCTGTGCTCCTCATGTGCTAACACTTGTGTCAACGGAATATTATTTGCGTTCAGGGCGGAGGGTTAGGACACTACTCGGGTGGGTCTGGAGGAACGTTGGACAGAAAGAAAAAGAACTTTTCGTTCAGTCGCAAGTTCCCCTTCATGAAGAGCCGGGATGGCGCTGACGGACTGGACTTCGACGGCAGCCATGACACCAGCAACCAGGACAGTGAGTAATTCTCCCACGATCGTGTAATAGTAGCGTGTATGTCTACTACTCAATCACAAGGTAATGATGCTGTTTGTACCATTTCTGAAGAGTCAGTACTGACAGCTCTGTAGTGTAGGCTTTTCAAGTTTGTGCACCAACTGTAATCGAATACTTTTATCTCAAGTTATTATTCCTAAACACACAGTATAACAAACAATAATTGTTTGCCTATTTGTGTCGTGATGACTGTAGGCGCGGCTGGAGTGTCTTCGGATAGTGAAGCCTCGTCCGTAGGCTGTCGGGAACGTGGCGGGACCGGCGGAGATACCGAGACCGTGCTCAGCTACGAACCTGTTGTGGAAACGCCGATAAACTATGTCCGGCCGGTTGTCATTCTGGGTCCTCTCAAGGACAGAATCAACGATGACCTCATTTCCGAGTTTCCTAATAATTTTGCTTCCTGTGTACCACGTAAGTATCAAGTTAAGATAAAGACCCAACTAGGATAATTGCAGCACTCTTCAATTGGCTCGTGCTCGTAGCTTTTGCTGTACTGCATGATCAATACAATATGTGGTGGAACAAATGTAGAGTGAACGAATCAGCGTAAGGGGAAAATGGGTTGAAAACAACAACTTTAGAGCGCTCGAAAAACAATGTAATACTTCTGGTTTTGTTGTTTTGTGGAAATTGTTTGATCAAATGTCAGAAAGGCCATCTTTTTACTTTGCGAAAGCATTCGACCGATCTTCGATGACAGAGTACAACAGATACCCATTTTCTCGACGGCTAGTTATGTACTGTCCACCGTGAAAAGCCGGAAAAACTAAACCCAGATTAAACGTTTTACGAATTTTTAACCGTTATTAACAAAGTTCCCGTATATATATCGTTCAACAACTGGTAATTTTTATAGTTTATGGACAGTTGAGTTATCGTTTATTTTCAGTAGAAAACCATTTTTCGACGTGAATAACGCGGCGCGGCGTAAAATAGAAATGTCGTTTGTGCTATATTGTTCCTTCGTCAAACCAAGTTAGCTGCAAAGCGTAAGAACCGTCGTTGAGATGGCCGACACCTATACATACACACACATACATGCTCTTGCTCGTAAGATAACTAATCATAACCTCTAAACAATCGCTCGTCACCATTATCGTCGACATCCCGCCATCAATAAGTGTCGTCACCTTTATTTCTAACCATCAATGCTTCGTTTTCACCGCTGCGTTCACACGCTATTGCTTTACCTGCAGACACCACACGTCCACAGCGCGACTATGAAGTGGACGGACGCGACTATCACTTTGTTACGTCCCGTGAGCAAATGGAGCGCGACATTCAAGCACACGCGTTCATCGAGGCGGGCCAATATAACGACAACCTCTATGGAACATCGGTAGCGGCAGTGAGGCTGGTGGCTGAACAGCAACGGAAGCATTGCATACTCGACGTTTCGGCGAATGCTATTAAACGGTTACAGGCAGCCGGACTTGAACCTGTCGCCGTACTCATTAAACCTAAAAATGTTGAAGCAATTCTCGAAATGAATCGACGGATCTCTGATGAACAAGCAACCAAACTTTACGAACGGGCGTTAAAGATCGAGCACGAGTTCAGTGAGTATAAACGCTAGGGGCTGATGAGGTTGCACAGAGTTGTTTTTGGTGTACTCATTGATCGATGGGTAGAAACATACGATGTGTATCTTATCTAATAATAATTGTTTTTTTTTTTCTTTATAGCTGTTTGTACAAAATTGGAGCTGGAACTAAGGAGAAAATTGAAAGCGATATGTTGCTGCTATATTTTCGCATGTTGGATAGTTCACAAAGCCTGCTATGTGATTCATTATGCTAGATTCAGCTTGTTTTCACAATACGACTATGTTTATTGTTTTATTTAGAATTAATAATGGTATATACGATTCAGTAGCATTTCTTTAGAAATTCGAGACGTATTTTTTTTTGACTCGTAATGCTTGTTTTCGACATGCCTGTATGTACAGAAAAAAAACCCATTAACATAAGTACCCTTTTCAACACAGAACTACGATATCTTATCGTTACGACTCACGATGCGGTTTTTTTTCCACCGTATGCACGTGCACTTACAGGCGAAGTTTTAACAGCAATTGTGACGGGCGAAACCGCTGACGAAGTCTACGAAAAGGTGCGACACGTCATCGAGCTTCACTCGTCGCCTTCGGCTTGGCTGCCTTCTCCTCATAAGCTATAGTTTACGCTATAGTAGCTGCCATAGGGCTAGTGGGGAAGCAAAAAAAAAGAAGAAGCAATTTATGTTCGTTCACAGCTGGCTGCAGTGTCGCTAACCTGAAACAAATAAAAATTAAATGGAAACGACCGAAAGGGAGTCCGAATAACAAAAATATATACGAAGATACACAGCAACGCGAAAAAAGAGAAATGGGGAAAGCAATGGGCAAAAATCTGAGGACAATGTACCGGTGCTATTGAAAGCATCTTGATGGCAGAGCTGGAAATGAAATGAAGAATGCGTACGTCGTCGGCTTCATCAGCTAAAAGCGATGATCATTTTGATTAAATCTAAGGGAAGATGACCGTGGACGATGTATATGATGGAAATTAAAAAATAATAACTACTTTAGCAACAGTAGCAGTAATGGTAATACCGACAATACTGCAACATCGTAAAACCATGAAATATAACTTTCTTTCCCCCTCCCCGACGACGATCACCACAACGACACAGCCATGATTACAAACCATCCGGTGTTAATAAGCACCTATTTTGCACACGTGCATCTCGTTCCCATGATTGGGACGGCTGTATGTGAAGGTCTTCATAGAAACGAGAAGGTCCTGCCACAGAAAAACGGCTGGTGATCACCGCGTAGCCAAAGGTCTTACCGCCTTCGGCGGACTAAATTCATTCAGCTGGCTGCACTCCGCAACAGAACGTGTGAGTTACGAATACAACGACCACTCCCTAACCCTTCACCTGTACTACGCTTCCAGATATCGATGCACCAACAGTGGTTTGTGAGCAAAATCATAGATTAGGAGCGTATATCTTCCGAAATACAAGGTATCAAAATATGAGGAAGGATGCAACAAGACAGGTGAAGATCTTAGCGCGAAGCGACATCGTGGGCGATTTTGCCAACACAACGATGCGGCTCAAGGAAGAAGTTTTTGCAACGTCACGACGGTCCTCACCACTGGCTCAAGTAACTGACAAGTACATTTTGGCCAGGTCTTTTAAGGTCTAAGGCCTTCAACCTATAGTGTACATACAATTAAGAACATTAGTATGCATAGTACCACTGCTCAGATGACTCCTTTTGACATGACAAAATGAGAAAAAATTTGATTTACTTATAATTGCTAGATACTTCTCTGTTATTCGCTTCCATTGTAAAAATTTGAATTAAATCGATTGTCTGTAAGTGATAATACTACAGCGGAAAGAAGTGGCGATTTGAAACAGCTGTTTTCAAGTATGATTATAGTTACTGACTGTGGACGTTCATTACTGCACCTGAAAAATATGCTGATATTAAAAAAAACACAAGGGGTACGCTAGATTCTTAGTTGTACTGTTAACCGACTGCCGGCCCAGTGGCCGTCTGCTTCTCGGATAGGAGGGCCGCCAGCACCACATGTAGACATACATCGTGAGTATAACACGAACATTTTACAGAAAATACATGTAATTCTCATAAATGACGATGATTTGAAAATCAAGCGGAAATGCTAGAAAACTTTTCATTTCCAGACGGTTAAAGCTAGTCAAACACAGCGGTCCAGAGAAGTGGTTCATAAGGCTAAAAAAGGCGACACAGCTACACGGACTAACAGATTGTACTTTTCCTTCGCACCAATTTCGTACAGATTCGTGGGACTTTACCGAGCGGCTCGGGCTATGATAGAAACCAGATACTACAAAATGTTTCGCAGATAACTAGAGAACTCTCATAATGAGGATTAGTGAAGTATAAAATTGGTCCCTCGAAAGATGTTCACAAAATATAGCCGTGAAACCACGGGCGGCCGCAATGTGCCATATTACATACCGCATGTAATTAAGTTTTCGTACACGAGCGCCCGTTACGTGACCAGTCCCAGAAACCAATTTCAGTGAATTTATCGGCCGCGAACTACAGCTGTGGGGGGCATATTTTTTGTTGATATTGACGACTGATTGAAATATCGATTGGTCAGTTCCATGATGACAAAGTTCCATGATGCTAGCAAGCATTGTACAGTACGTAGAAGTGCTTATTTGACCTAAGTTTTCAGAAGAAACGTCTTACCCAAAATTAAGATGATGTTCATCTCTGACTCCGGCATGATCGGTCCGCATTGAAAAGAACACGAAGTAAATTAAACTTGTAGTGTGTAGAAAAGAAGAGAAAAATCATTTGTTTTAGAGTATATAAGTTTTAGGCAAACGACGGCAAATCGGAGAAAAGCCGTCAAAAAACGGGAAATTTAAATCTATCCAAAGTTGCCGACCACCGCTGCACCATCTACCAGTTAGTATCGACAATAACAATAACAAGCAGCAAAGTAACTTAATCACATACGCCAAGTATAGGTAACTACCTCTGATTAGAGAGGGCCAACAAAAAATCCCAGCCAGCCTAATCTGATAGCTTTCGTAATGCCCTAAATTATCTTTCATATTACAACATGTGACATTCTTAAATTACTTGAGTAGGCAGAAGAAGTTCATACTATCTTACTACGCCACTATCGAACTGCAGGTAGTTCTCTCTACGTTTGCCAAAGTCTTGCAGGCATACTTGCACAGCTCCTGGTGAGGGCTCTCGTAGCGGTTTAACGTCAACCGGTTGTAATGGTTTGTAATTTCCACCAACAGAGAAACAATACGTGATGATAACAACGTCTAATCAAATGGTGACGACATTCTAGAAAAACAAACAAGAGAGATAGCTAGCACCCGAACAAATTGTAATGGACGGCGATCGGGCGCGTGTCGCATGTCGAAACACGCCTTGACACCCTGGGGTGCACCTCGTGGAGGAAACTCAGTTGAGTCAAACGCATTACGGGTGTGTTGATGCCCGTGCAATGATATCTCTGTACAAACAAACACACATGACACATACAATTTTAGGATAAGAGTGTATCAAAGGGAAAATGGTCGTGGCTGTCCTCAACGCGGAGTGGAAAAAAAACAGTAATGAAACGGAAACTGTGAAAACAAAGATGTGTTCCTGATAAAATGCCCGTGCAAATATTGAAAAAAAGGCGACAGAAAGTGTGGCCGCAGTCTATTTTGGGAGAGTTTGATTGAGTTTGAATACAGAAGAAGTAACTATTGCATTGTAGAGACTCGGGCAATGTTCGCTATCACATCACATCACGTTCCAGGACACTGCGCTCTGTTACTAAACGAAGAAGCGCATGAGGGCAAAGAAAACGAACGTTTGCGCATATACACATGTTCACAGCATATATATAGGACGTGCGCAGGATTTCGTTTATTTAGTGTACAATGTTGGTTAGGCTTCTAATGACGTATCAAGAAACAGCAATTGCTACATTAAGAACGGGAGGTGTAACAACAATTGTCTGATAATGTAAGTAAATACAAATCCGATGGAAAAGCGCGTCACGGCAGGCGGAGCGAACATTGTGCCCCTTTTTACATATAAACACACAT